GGGCTGCGGGCTCCGTGAAGGAAGTGAGTTGAGTAGAAACAGATGAGCCTAGTGAGGTGCAGGGCCGGGCTCTGTCTGGAACTGGAGAACTCAAAAATCAAGGGGCCTAGGGCTGGTAAGTCCATCAACTCAGGAAGCTAGGCAAGTTCAGAACTAGTTTGGGCTACCGTGAGAACCTGTCTTTAAAACCAGAGCGTTAAAATGTAAAGAGTCCTGTGCTATGCAAGAAACCTAGGCTTGAGCCATGGCCTGATGAGCTATAAAGACAGGTAATCAATGTAGTGAGAGCAAATGAGTGAAGAGGAGAACTCTGTGAACAATAGAATCGGGATTAAAGAGGAATCCTGACAAAATAGCCAAACCAGAAATAAATAAGCATGAACAGCTCTTCCAGGGTGCGGAAGGGGTTGATTGAATGCAGACTTTAACCCGAGTCTACAGAGAAACATTTGGCTTCGCTAAACTAGGAATAGTTTCCAAGTATTTCAAAGAATGGGGTCCATTTCCAGGAAGGTATGTATGTAATATATGCCATGTATTACAATTCTTGGGGAAACGAGTATCATAGGACGTAGGCATTGTGGCATTTTACATGGGCCTTTGATGTGGGCCTGGCTCCAGTGAAAACATTCTCTTGTATAAATGCATGAGCATTGTGTGAGGTGGGGATTTGTTGGGGAAAACATGGAGGAATGTGTAGGGCATTAGGAAACCACCCATCTCTGTTGCCTTCCTGTGGTGACGAGAATTATAAATCCTCAGGTACTCGGATATACTCCCAGGTAAGAAAAGGGTTATGTGGGCAACAAGATGGTCTGTGGATGAAAGTGCTTGCTAAGTTCACGCCTGCCCCAAGTTCAACCCCTGGAACCCATGTAAAAGTCTGGATGCCGGGGTGTGTGTCTGTACCCCAGTACTTCTGTGCAGGGATGGGGCAGAGTAGGGACACTTCATCGGAAGCCGGCAGGCTGGCCAGCCTGGAGTGCAAACTTGTAGCAGCAGAACCATCAAGGAGACCCCAACAAGGTGGAGGCAAGAACTAACCCTGGACAGCTGTCCTCTGACGTCCATGTGTGCCACGGCCCTCGGGCGTCCTCACACGTGCACTAGGCAAATACATATTTTAAGGGAATATTAAGGTAAAAAGCTTAGTACGTCCCGTTGGCTGTAGCGTCATGATTTCTCCTTCCTGATCCCCCGCCCGCCCGGATTCAGGGGAAACCATTATGTTGAAGCGCGGATAAGCTTTAGTAGGCTGCAGTGAAGATGGCACGGGCTCATCATTCTCAGTGGAAGGGGGTTGAGGGCAGGCATGACACACTCAAACAGCAGCCTTTTGATGCGCATGTGGACAGAAGTGAAGGCCAGGGAAGGTTGACAGGGAAGTGTCCGATGCCAGTGTATTTTAAAGATATTTTAAACAACAGTGGAGATTTGTTTGTAGTTGCTGACTTGTTCTAAGAATAGTGATGGAGCAGAGATCCTGTATTTCAGGCAGTGCTCTCCCGTTTGCTCTCCCGGCACCAGCAACCGCGAGGCCAGGCTTCTCAGCAGCACAGGGACCTTGGTGAAAGCAGTCAGCTGTGGGCACAGCTGGGTTTGTCAGTGTCCTCCGCTCCCCGTACCCATGAGGGGTTGCAGGGATAAGCATGGTAGGAAGTTAGAGCCCACGGTGAACTTTATATGTGGGTCCAACGTCAAGGACATAAACCTTCTTGTCCAGCCCTTCACTTTTTTTTTAAAGATTCATTCATTCATTCATTCATTGTGTATGCAGTGTTCTGTGTGCATGTGTCCCTGCAGGCCAGAAGAGGGCACCAGATCTCATTGTCTATGGTCGTGAGTCCCCATGTGGTTGCTGGGAATCGAACTCAGGACCTCTAGAAGACCACCCAGTGCTTTTAACCACTGAGGCACCTCACCTTACTTCTTATACCCTGTCCTTTACAGGACTGTGACTACTGCTGGTCCTATACTACGCTTCCGCTGCCGCTGCTGCCGCTGCTTCGCGTCCTTTTCCTCCTCCATGTTTTTCCTTCCTGTACCCGTTGGGATTCTCTATGAAGCCCAGAATTCTAAAACTAGACTGTCTTAAGAGTAGAGCGGACCTGTTGGCTCACACAACTGGAAAGGCTGCCTCTGGGTCAGACTTCAGAGTCAGTTGATCTAGCAGCTCAGTGATATCATTAAATATTTAGTTTCTTCCCTTTCCCACTCACAGGGTTTATTTCAGCGTAAATCACGCCCTACTCTTTCTCATGGGGTGGCTGCCCCCTACCGTCAGGGGAGGAGTGGGACCCTTTCTCTCACAGCAGACCCCCCCTACCCGTGTGAGTTCTAGGGATGGAAGCAGTCACTTTAAAAACTCCCTGGACTATGGGGGTTGAGTGCGCTGGGAGGAAATAAATACGTGCCAAGTATTTCAAAGAATTTAGGTCAGTTTTCAGGACGTGTACAAATCATGTAACACTGTAAGGAAAGAAGGAAAAGAAGTTTGTGTAGGTGGAGGCAGGAAGAAGCCATGCTCATCTGACCAACTGCTGTAGTCTCGACTTCACCATTGGTGTTTCCCAGGAAAAATAAAACCCACTTTCGCCATAGTCTGCTGCAGCGCACCCTTCCTTCCCTGACCTTTAATAAGGCCCACCTGGTCATTAAGAACATGTTCCCCTTATCTTTCTCCTTTCCACACCCTACACTACAAACACGGGAAGTGGAGCTGCCCACGCTCCTCCCCACTTGCTATCCTGGCCTGCAGTACCACTCACTGCAGGCTGACATCTCCACCATTGTCTAAAACCCCTGCAGTGCACGAGGCTGACATCTCCACCATTGTCTAAAACCCCTGCAGTGCACGAGGCTGACATCTCCACCATTGTCTAAAACCCCTGCAGTGCACGAGGCTGACATCTCCACCATTGTCTAAAACCCCTGCAGTGCACGAGGCTGACATCTCCACCATTGTCTAAAACCCCTGCAGTGCACGAGGCTGACATCTCCACCATTGTCTAAAACCCCTGCAGTGCACGAGGCTGACGTCTCCACCATTGTCTAAAACCCCTGCAGTGCACGCACGTGCGAATGCATGAGCGTGCACACACACAGACGGCCTTGGGTTGATCACCAGGGAAAAAGAAGCCCATTGAGGTTCCCAATCTGGCTTTACCATTCTGAGCCTGTGTTTGCTGTCCTCTTCCAATAAGGTGGTTTGTCTCCCCCCACCCCCCCAACCCCCCCCACCTCCTGGTTTTTAAAGACTGGATTCTGGTTCGGTCGTCTACTCCCAGGTCCAGCCAACAAGCTTCTGATTCCAGTGTTCACACGGTCTCTGCAAACTGAACTCAGTCATTTCTACTCTCCCGAGCCTAACATTTAAGGGAAAGCCCCTGCAGCTTACCTGCTTTGCTTTGAGTTCGTTTTTCTCTTAAGGAAGAGCAGTAAGTGTTCTTAACTGCGGATGCCTCTCTTCCAACCCAGCCACTCAATCTTGTTTGTTTTGTTTTTCAAGACAGGGTTTCTTTATAACAGTCAGTCCTGGCTGTCCTGGAACTCACTCTGTAGACCAGGCTGGCCTTGAACTCACAGAGATCCTCCTGCCTCTGCCTCCCGAGCGCTGGGATTAAAAGTGTGCCACTGAATTCTTGAAGTCATATGACTCTTATTTTTACTCTCACATCGCTACTGCCTTTTGCCAGTGCTGCTACTTGTGCCAAGACTGGAGTTTCTTTTCTCTAAATCTGCCCTGCCTGTGTTTTATACCCCACTCCTCCCTGAAGCTATAGGACCTTGTGAGATACACATACCCTTTAATGGCTCTTCATGGTTTCACTGCAGACCTCGGGGCCTCTTGCTCTGGGACACGGCCTTTTAGGTCTGTAAAGACTTGAATTGTTATTTCTCACTCTCCCCTTTGCATGTACCACAAACCACATCTTGTTCAGATTGTTTTGTTTTTTTAAGTATGTGTATATCCATGAGTCTGGGTGTTAAGGGGATGTGCAGTGCCCACAGGATCCAAAAGAGGGCAGCAAATCCCCAGACATGGAGTCACAAGCAGTCATGATCTGCCCAACTTGGGTGCTGAGAACCCGACTGGGATCATCTGTAGCAGCCATTGATGCACTTAGTTCCTGAGCCTAAAGTACATCTTTGATTCCACTGGTGTTTTTTTGTTGTTGTTGTTTTTTTTTGTTTATTTTTTATTTTTTTTAGGAATGAGAATTTAAAGGCACTAAATAATACAAATTCAGGCGCCTTCTAAATTTTATATTTTTACCCATTTTTTTTTTTTCAAATTAGCCAGTTTTTGTTATCGGTGTTTCAGTAACTGCCTTTTTGAATTTTTTAAACATTTTATCTCAGGGGTGAGGAACATTATTAATTTCCATATATTTAATTATGTAAATCTGTAAATCACACCTTAATACATATGGGCAGGTTTGGAACAGTCTTAATCTTTTTCTACTGATAAAATAAATATAGCTGTGTGGTGGCACATGCTTTAATAAACCCAGCACCCAGGAGGCAGAGGCAGAGGATCTCTGTTAGTTTGAGGCCAGCCTTGTCTACAATAGAGTTCAGGACAGTCAGGGCTACACAGAGAAACCCCATCTCAACAATCAATCATTCAGGAAAACATGAATATATACCAGAAAATACAGAGCCTACCTTGAGTGAGTCTCATCCAGCTTCACATAAGAAATATTGTGAGGGAAGCGAGGTCAGTGCTAGCCAGGGTCTCGCCTGTCCTGGTGTGTGGCTCTTCTGTTCTTGGGTCTTACTTTCTTAGCCACATCGTAGAGCATTGCGTAGGTGCCGCCTCACATTCTCTGCCTCCTTCGGTGTCACACTCTAGCTTTCCCAGGTCTGGGCTCTGGCCATGAACTTCGTTGCTTTAGTTGTCGTCCCACCGAGTCTCTTGCTGTCCACACAGTTAACTCTTGCACACGTACAACAGAATTCTTAATCTCTATTCGTTGTTCTTTTCCAATTCTTTTTAGAGCTGGTGGTTCCAGGATTCTGCTGAGAATGACGTTGGGAAGAGAGGTAGCGTCTCCTCTTCAGGCTGCGTCTTCCTACACAGCCGCTGGCAGGAACATTCTGAGATGGGACCTTTCTCCAGAGCAGATCAAGACAAGGACAGAAGAGCTCATCACACAGACCAAGCAGGTGTACGATGCTGTGGGGACAATCGACCTGAAAGAAGTAACTTACGAGAACTGTTTGCAGGTGCTAGCCGATGTAGAAGTGAAGTATATAGGTGGGTAGAGACACCAGCATATCCGCACTCCTTTTTTATCTAAGTCAGTATCCGCTTTGACAGGAAACTGACTCTTACACTGGCCTGACTATTGCTTAGAATTAAGTTAAGTTAGCTAAGGACTGTGAGCATCACTAGATGCTGCACACTGCACTCTCCTCACACACTGCACTCTCTCCTCACACGCTGCACTCTCCTCACACACTGCACTCTCTCCTCACACACTGCACTCTCCTCACACACTGCACTCTCCTCACACACTGCACTCTCCTCACACACTGCACTCTCCTCACACACTGCACTCTCCTCACACACTGCACTCTCCTCACACACTGCACTCTCCCTCACACACTGCACTCTCCTCACACACTGCACTCTCCTCACACACTGCACTCTCCTCACACACTGCACTCTCCTCACACTCACTGCACTCTCCTCACACACTGCACTCTCTCCTCACACACTGCACTCTCCCTCACACACTGCACTCTCCTCACACACTGCACTCTCCTCATACACACTGCACTCTCTCCTCACACACTGCACTCTCCTCACACACTGCACTCTCTCCTCACACACTGCACTCTCTCCTCACACACTGCACTCTCTCCTCACACACTGCACTCTCTCCTCACACACACTGCACTCTCCTCACACACTGCACTCTCCTCACACACTGCACTCTCCTCACACACTGCACTCTCCTCACACACTGCACTCTCTCCTCACACACTGCACTCTCCTCACACACTGCACTCTCTCCTCACACACTGCACTCTCTCCTCACACACTGCACTCTCTCCTCACACACTGCACTCTCCTCACACACTGCACTCTCTCCTCACACACTGCACTCTCTCCTCACACACTGCACTCTCCTCACACACTGCACTCTCTCCTCACACACTGCACTCTCCTCACACACTGCACTCTCTCCTCACACACACTGCACTCTCCTCACACACTGCACTCTCCTCACACACTGCACTCTCCTCACACACTGCACTCTCGCCACACACTGCACTCTCCTCACACACTGCACTCTCCTCACACACTGCACTCTCCTCACACTCTCACACACTGCACTCTCCTCACACACTGCACTCTCCTCACACACTGCACTCTCTCACACACTGCACTCTCCTCACACACTGCACTCTCCTCACACACTGCACTCTCCTCACACACTGCACTCTCCTCACACACTGCACTCTCTCCTCACACACTGCACTCTCTCCTCACACACTGCACTCTCTCACACACACTGCACTCTCGCCTCTCTCCACACACTGCTCTCTCTCCTCACACACTGCACTCTCCTCACACACTGCACTCTCCTCACACACTGCACTCTCCTCACACACTGCACTCTCCTCACCCTGCACTCTCCTCACACACTGCACTCTCCTCTCACCCTCCTCACACACTGCACTCTCTCCTCACACACTGCACTCTCCTCACACACTGCACTCTCTCCTCACACACTGCACTCTCTCCTCACACACTGCACTCTCCTCACACACTGCACTCTCCTCACACACCCCTCTCCTCACACACTGCACTCTCTCCTCACACACTGCACTCTCCTCCTCACACACTGCACTCTCCTCACACACTGCACTCTCCTCACACACTGCACTCTCCTCACACACTGCACTCTCCTCACACACTGCACTCTCCTCACACACTGCACTCTCCTCACACACTGCACTCTCTCCTCACACACTGCACTCTCCTCACACACTGCACTCTCCCTACACACTGCACTGCACTCTCCTCACACACTGCACTCTCTCCTCACACACTGCACTCTCTCCTCACACACTGCACTCTCTCCTCACACACTGCACTCTCCTCACATACTGCACTCTCCTCACACACACTCCACTCTCCTCACACACTGCACTCTCCTCACACACTGCACTCTCTCCTCACACACTGCACTCTCCTCACACACTGCACTCTCTCCTCACACACTGCACTCTCCTCACACACTGCACTCTCCTCACACACTGCACTCTCTCCTCATACACTGCACTCTCTCCTCACACACTGCACTCTCTCCTCACACACTGCACTCTCCTCACACACTGCACTCTCCCTCACACACTGCACTCTCCTCACACCTGCCTCTCCTCCCCCTGCACTCTCCTCACACACTGCACTCTGTCCTCACACACTGCACTCTCTCCTCACACACTGCACTCTCCTCACACACACTGCACTCTCCTTACACAAAGCCATTGGGGTGTATGCATGGATGCAGAGAGACTCTCCATGGGGAGCTGGCCTGGAAGATGGCAAGGCTAAACTTCAGTGTGGACCTATAATCCCAAGACCCAAGTAGTCAGTCTACTAAAGAACTCTGCTTTACTTTTTGTGCTAACTCTCAATTGACTAGATGAGGCTAACTGCCTATGGTGGCCAGTGTTCATCTCATCCAGAACACCTACAGCTCAGCTCATAACATCACTCATCACAATGATCAATATCTTGAGTGGTGTGCTGTTCACACTTGATTTTTCTTTATCCATTTCTCTGTCTTCATCTGTGTTGTCTTCAACATGTCCTTACACTTGCACAAGCCGAGAATTAGACATATTTCCATAGGATAATAATGACTAAACAACCTTGGATGTGGATCCAGGCTTCACTTAAAATTATGTGTATAAATTTTGTACACTATGTATACAAAATTATATATGCACACTGGATTATCATCGATATTTGTATGTGTTCTGGAAACTGGAAGGCTGTCCAAAACCAGCGAACTGTAGTAACTTGTGCTTCTGCTACCCCCTAATTACCCGGTGTTCCCTGCCCCCGCACACTGTCATAAAGACACAGGTATTTTCTCTTCTCTCTGTGTTTGCTTCCAACCTCTTCACTATGGTTAATGGCTACTGCATCTTCTAAGGCCTAACTGTAAACTCCTGAGTGGAGTTGGCTTGGTCCTTTCTGCCAGTCACGGGCATGGCCAGTCCCTGTAGCATAGGGTTTTTCCAGCAGCACGGGTTTGTTCTTGATTCAAGTTCTCGCTTCTTCTTCAGCCCCTTCTCATCAAGAGGCCAGTATGTCAGCCTAACAGTGTGTGCTTTTGATTGAGAAGGAAAGAAAAGAGGGAAGAGTCGGGGAGGCACAGACTCATTTAAAGACAGTTCTCTTGGGTCCTGGGTTTCCCCAGGAAGGAATATTTTAAACCTGTATAGAAGTTTGTGGTGTTTGTCCATGCTCCCCTTAAATGTATCTTTACGGATAACCATCAAGCCTCTGAGGGAGCAGACTTCTCAAAACTAACTCCCTCTTATCTGCCTGTTGTGGGTTACATGCCACAGTAGCTGAGTCTCACTGCCTGGTGTCCGCCCTGGGCACAGACAGCATTGTTTATAGCTTGGCAGGGGGATGGAAGTCTGCTCCAGGCTTCTGCGGTAAAGGAAGGAAGGAAGGAAATGGCCGTCAGTGTATTGTTAAGATTGTTTCCAGTTTTAGGCTCCTGCACTTTTATCTTGTTACCCATTTAGGTTCTTGAGAAATTTGATTGCTTCTTAGTAAGCAGGAATTGTAACTAAAGTGGTGCACTATGTATGAAAGTTTTCCTAATTACCAAGTGTAAATGTATGTACTAAGTCACGTGCTAAAATATAATTGCAGAGTTTCATTTTTTAGAAATGTGTATTGTGGAGCTGGGGGTATGGCTCAGTGGTAGAAACTATGCATGTATTCTATTTCTGACATGTTTTAGTAGCTTTACTGGTAGCAGCGTTAAAAGGATCGATGTGAGTGTGGCAGCATTTTAACTACACTGTTCCTTACTGAGTAAGGGTGACTGAGTGTCTACTTGGATTGCTTGTGTAACTGTTACCAGTTTATAAAACAGACATGGTATGAATACCTGTATTCTAAACACTGAGGAGGATGAAGCAGGGGAGTGATAAGTTCAAGGCCAGCCAGGTCTATGTAGTGAGACTGTCTCAGAACAAACATGGTACTGAAGGAAGTAAGGTGTATCCCTTGACACAGCATGATCACAGCCATCACTGTCTTGGGTACAGCTATGTCATGGATATCAGAGATTTTTGCCCAATTAAAGTCTGTGAAATCCCAACAACTGAGTTAACATGTGAAGATTAGAGTAGTCCTTTACCATCATCATTTGACGGGCACAGCATCCAGCTGCTTGCTGGATGTATCCAGGATTATCTAAAGTTTTTGTTTATTTGATACATGCATTTCGGATGGGGCCATAATTTAGATTAGACTCTGCACGGGGTCTGTAGTAGGGGAAATGATTAAGAACTTCTTTATACAAACTTCTTCCTGCTTCATTGATTCGATTGTTTGCAAACATCCGGTGTCAGTCTCTTCTTTTCCAGAACACAGGGGACCCTTCCTTCACAGCAGACTGAGCCCTTGGAGCTGCTGCCTCTGAGCCAGTGTCCCTCTCAGTGACAACCCACAGGCTCTGCCATCTGTGTTCATGCACCAGGTCCCTCCTTTCCCAGATCATGACAGCTACATACAGGAACTATGTCTTCATAATTCACAGTTAATCGGTTATGCCCTAGAGGTACTTTCTAAGTGCCGAGTGCACAGCCTCATTGTGCCGAGTGGAACAGCTGACTCCTGCATTCAGGACTCCCTCTTGATAGTTCCCAGAGCCTTTGCCGAGAGCACGAAACAAAAACACTTCTTCAGTGTAACCCTCATCTCAAAGAGAGATTGGGCTACTACCAACTCCTGTCATGTTCACAGTTTTTCCTTGCCTCCACAGTGGAAAGGACCATGCTGGACTTCCCTCAGCACGTGTCATCTGATAGAGAAGTGCGGGCCGCCAGCACAGAGGCAGACAAAAGGCTTTCTCGTTTTGATATCGAGATGAGCATGAGAGAAGATGTATTTCAGAGAATTGTTCATTTATACGTAAGTAATTAATTAGACTAAAGCGCTGGGAAAGGAAGATGCACAAAACCTGTAACCAGTAACCTGGAGCTACAGAGAAAGCTCGGGTGGGAGCATTTGCTGCTCTTGCAGAGGAGCCACCTCTGGTTTCCAGCACCCACGCTGAGTGGCTCCCAAGCTGCTTATAATTCTAGCTCCCAGAGACCCAAACCCTCTTCTAACCACTGTCGCATACCAGCATGAACATACACAGGCACACACGAACATAAATACTTTTTAAAAGTAAGAACCTGGGGGCAGGGTACCTAACATGAGCAGGCGTGTGCGCTCAGGACCCTGTCATTAACCTTTACTACTAAAAGAGGAAAAGGTGAGAACCTTTGACTGAGAGTGAAAAGTACTTGAATTTTCGTAGAGTTTGTTTCTAGCAATTCTAGTAATTGGCATTGTATAGTGATTTCCAGTGTTGCCTTGTATCAGCTTGGTTTATGTTGAGTTCTTATTGCGTTCACTTAGAGCTAAAGACTGAATGTAGAAGGGTGCACACCCATAAATCTAAGCTTTCTAAGGCCATTGTGAACTTGGTAGCTCAATGGAAAAACTTTCAGTTTTCAAACTATTACAAGGCTTATATTAGATCGAGTCAATTAGATGCAGATGAAATTGGGTTGTTATCTGAGGATCTTGTGGTCTGGACTTTAGTATTGTGTAACAAGTCTTTTTCTGTTCCACCAGCCAGCTCCCAAATAATGACACAGAGACTTGTCATTAATTGTGAAAGCTTGGCCTATAGCTTGGCTTGTTCTTAACTTGTTCTTAGAACTTAACCCACTTATATTAATCTATGTTCTACCACATGGTTTTTACGTCTCCCATTTTGCACCTCCTGTTTCTTCTCCATGTCTCCTAGCATCTCTCTACCTCTTAATTATCTCCTCCTAATTCCTCTCTGCCCAGAAGTTCTACCTGTACCTCCTGCCTAGCTATTGGCCATTCATCTCTTTATTACACCAATCACAGCAATACGGTATACAAATACCTCACAACAGTGTTGATAATATACTGCTGATGTGCCAAAGCCATTTTCCCTGTCCCCTTATCGTTTCCAGGACTCACGTTCCACATAATGAATGTTCTAGGCGAACTTGCCTGGAATGCCTTTGATGTTTCATCACTAATGTGCATTTGCCTCCTAGCATTGTGAGCATGCCTTTTCTCAAACTGTTTCCTGACATTTCCCAGCATTCTGTTGAAAAATTCCTGAAATTTTACATATGAGTTTTATTATGCATGTTTCTTTTTGCAAAATCAGAAGTAGAAAAACTTTTTTTTAATGACAAGATTTGAAATAAGGTTTTTCTCTGTTGTTAACTGCTGCTTAATTTGCAACTCCTGACAGAACATACCACTGTGACTTTAGCATGTGAGGTGTGCATTCCCAAGCCCCATGATTATTTCTCACTCTCTAGTTGATAATCATCAGTATGGTTCTTCTTTGGCACTATAAAAATAATAAGTGCAAATAATTCTATGATACTCCTCACTTTCTAAATTCCTACAGCCCCACTCCCCAGTCCCCCACCCCCCAGCACCATTAGGGATCATACCCTGGGCCGCCCTGCTGGCCGCCCTGCCAGGCATGCGCCCTACGGCTGACCTGCACTCCCAGACTCCATCACAAGTAGGTTCTCAATTGCAGTAAGGTTTTTCTTACCTTTCCTGCTCCTCTGGTTCTTTCAGCTTTTACCCAGGTATGGAAGGTTGTCACATTAGATTCCTTGTCCTATTTCTCAATTTTGTGTTGGGACCCATCTCCCCTAAATTTGAGAACACTTTCCCCCCCTGTAGCGTAGACTGACATTCCTACTGACCTGTTAGTCACCAATGCATCCATGGGATTTGTGTGGCTGTTTGGGCTGGTTTGGGTTTGTATGTTTGTTTGTTGTTTTGTTTTGTTTTGTTTTCTCTGTGTGACAACGCAGGCTGTACTGGAACTCACTCTGTAGACCAGGCTGACCTCAGACTCACAGAGATCCTCTTGCCTCTGCCTCCCGAGTGCTGGGATTGAAGGCGTGCGCCATGGCTGCCCAGTTGGGACTGGGTTAGTTAGACTTTATTGAAACCATGTAAGATATTTCAGGCTTGGTTGGCAGTTGCCACCTCCTCCCAGCTGAGTAGTTACTTGGTGAACCCCTGTAGGGTCTTCCACTGTGCACTGAGGTTGTCTGAGTACTGAAGGCTAACAGTTGTAACCATTGTTTGTTTTTGCACTGAAACTCATTGCATTAGGTAAATGTAGTTACTTTAAAACCTCCCAGGACAAAGAGGCAGTACTTTTTTAAAGCTCCAATTATCAATGTCAGTTTTCTACCAGGTGGGTACTTTTTTCCCCAAGGTGGGTGCTTTCAAATTAATAAATATCATCCCATTTATGCATAAGGACTAAATTAGACATATCCCAAATGTTCTAAATGTAAAGGATATAGGACAGCCATAATGTAACACATGAGACTTAGCTACAGAAATGAAAATATATGTTAACTCAAAGTCAGCGATTTCAGGCAGTCTTATAATACTGAGTTGTTCAAAAAGTAACCACATACTAGATGTTATATTATCCTTTTTTCACATTAAATTAATGAATAAAAATGTGAAATTGCTGGCTATGGTGGTATACACCTTTAATCCCAGCACGTAGGAAGCAAAGGCAGGTGAATCTCTTGAGTTCGAGGCCAGCCTGGTCTACAGAGTGAGTTCTAGGATATCTGGGACAAAAAAAAAAAAAAAAAAAAAAAAATGAAGGAAGGAAGGAAAAATTAAAGTCCATAGACAGATTACTCTGGCCACACCTGAACTCAATAGATCTCTTAAGCTAAGAAGGGTTAGTACTTGAATGGGTGAAGTATGAAATTATATCTCACAGTTCTTTCTTTGTACATATCTGTGTCCAGTGAAGATTCCAATTGTCCGTTGACGTGAAGCATTTTAATTAAAATTAAAAATTAAAAAAAATTTAATTAAAATGGTCAGAAAGGGCCATAGCCATTTATTCCCTCTGTTTCTATGGACCAGGTTTCCAGGAGGGAATCTGCTGAGCAGTTGTAAGTTAGCTCTATAGAAGGAGTTTCTGTTCCTCCTGGTTCCACAGCTGTTTCATGCCAAATAAACACACTGAGGCTTAAACTAATTATAAACTGTTTGGCTGATAGCTCAGGCTTCTTATTGGCTAGCTCTCTTAATTACTAACCCATTTCTACTAAACTATATATTGCCATGAGGCTGTGGCTTACCTGTAATGCTCCGGCATGTTACTCAGCAACTACATGGCATCTCCCTGGCAGCTCCCTACCTTCCTGTTCCCAGAATTCTCCTGGTCTGGTAGCCCACCTATACTTCCTGCCTGGCTCCTGGCCAATCAGCATTTATTCATCCAGCAGTAAGAGAATCATGTATTGACAGTATCCAGAAGGACATCCCCCACCATCTCCTTTTTTCTGTCTAAATAAAAAAGGAAGGTCTTAACTTTAACACAATAAAATTATATATAACAAAACAGTTATCAAGTAAGAATTGTAGTTACACTATCTAGTTCATTCACATTTGGCAAAATTCAAAGAAAATATTCTACTGTCTGTCCTGTCTTTATGAGTCTAAAGTTTTATATGTAACTTATCCTTTATCATAACTAAGTAAATCAATAACCATAACTGTATTTAACTCCATCAGAAACCCCAGAAGGATAATATATAAACTCTAGAATTGGCAGAGACATCTCACTGCCTGGACAGTCACCCAAAGTTTCTCTGTAACATTGGGGCATCCATCTTCACTCCATAGGCCACAGTGTCTGGCAGACATTTTAATGAAGCAGGAAACCTGAAGATGTGCTCTGTCTTGGCAAGTTCAGCAGTCACTTCTGTGGGCCCTGCATATGCAGCTTGGACAACATGCTTGCTGATAGCAGTTGAGCAAGGGCAGTTCTTGCCCAATAGGGCACTTTGCCACATTGAAGGCAAACTCCATAGTGAGTTTCTTCAATGCCCATTTTCCTCACTGACGTAATTGGTGTTGCCAGGAGCAGTTATGTCTCATTGTCTGGAAAAACCCTAGACCATTTTAAATGCCATATTCTGTAGGTCTTTAAAAGGCTCAGTAAACCTTTGCTGGGGGGTGGCTGGAGATAGTTTGGTGTCTCAGACAACCCTGGTGAGCTCGGGGTGTGGAAGGCTAAGGGGGTTTGAGCTGGGTGCTGTCACTCTGGCTTGCACCCTGCGTTTTCATGGTACTCATGAGGCCTTTGTTGAGTGCTTGTCAAGGCATAAGACGAATATCTGCTCTTTTTTGTACAGATCACCAGTCCTTTCAGGGTTAATTAATTAATGAGGTCACAGCTGTGGACCTCACTTAACTTCAGCCATCTCCCAACACAGTCACACAGGGGTCAGAGCTGCCACAAATGCATTTGATGAGACACAGCTTGGCCCATTACACAGGACACATCACGTGGTCTCTTTCTGAAGTTTAGCAGAGTGTTCTTACTGCATGGCAGATAGGGGTGATGAAGCCACGGGTCACAATTTCTGCCACACTGCTCTGGGTCACTTTGGACCCTGACTATCTCCCAGTGTCCTGTGTGTTGAGTGTTTGTCCCAGCCTTTGGCAGTTGACAGGAGGTGGAACCTTTTGTGGATCAGGCCTGGTGGAAGGAAGTGAAGTCATTGAAGGGTGCCCTTGCTGGAAATGGCCCTCTCTCTGTGTGTCGTCCCCCCCACCCCCAGCCATTGTGAGGTGCCATCTACCTTGCACTCTGCACCACGCCTGCTTTCCTGTGGCCCCAAGAGTGACGTAGTCAGCTGACCATGTGAAGACGCCATGAGATAATGTAGTCTTTCTGTCAATACGAGCTGATCATCTCAGGCATTTTGTCACAGCAGAAAGCTGTGATGTGCCCAAATAGAAGATGTCACATCTCCATCTGGGGAATCTCAGTAATTTACACTCATGTTTCAAAACTCCAAACA